ATAACAGCTATTCAACCCATAGAGGAAAGGTACACAGAAGCCCCAGACTACCCAAAAGAAAAAGCCTGGGGTTAGATGGGCAATTATGGCTCGACATCGGATTTCAGGTTTTATAGATGGATCTAATGTCTGAGAATCTGTGAACAGATGGATTCTTAATGACTGGCCAAGCGTGGTAGCTCAGGCCTGTAATCCCAGAACTTTGGGAGGCTGAGGCGAGTGGATTGCCTGAGGTCAGGAGTTTGAGGCCAGCCTGGCCAACATGGTGAAACCCCATCTCTACTAAAAAATACAAAAATTAGCTGTGCATGGTGGCAGGCACCTATAATCCCAGCTACTCGGGAGGCTGAGGCAGGAGAATCATTGCTTGAACCCAATAGGCGGAGGTTGCAATGAGCTGAGATGGAGCCATTGCACTCCAGCCTGGGTGACAAGAGCAAAACTCCGTCTTAAAAAATAAAAGTCAGTGACTATAGGAGAAAAATCGAAGACAAATATTTGACCTTTGGAAGTGCTTGCAAAGGCAGGAAAAATAAAAAGACCTACAGAAAAGTAGAAGGAGAACACAAATGTGTGGTGGTCCTGAGAGTTTTTAAGAGGAGAGAGGAGTCCAAAGAGAGCAGGTGAATCCAAAGGCTCCAGCCCAGAAGGCACATTGGGTTTTCATAATGATGAGACCCTCCGGTGGCCTGTGGAGCTGGCTCCCGTCAGGTCATCAGAGCCAGCTGCGCACACTGCTTCCCAAGTCCATGTCATGTTGGGAGTGGGAGACTGGCTGTGTGAAAAACTGTCTATGCCATGGAAATTGGCAGGTATGTGGCGACCCAGCAAACACAGTTGCCACCTGAAACATAATTTTTAGGAATAGCATTTAACCTTGTATGTGGGATCCATTCTGATCTCTATCCTTCCCTTCTTACCTGTTTCATTAAAAAAGAAGAAAGAGCTGGTGTAACTCACTGAACTGATTTCATGACCTGCAGTTTGAAAGACACTGTTTTAGAGAAAGCTAGAAATTATGTACGCTTTACAAAGTCAGAAGACAATCATTTTAAAAATAAATTGTAGTAGCAGCTGTAGATCAGATGTTTTCATCTTGAAAGGAAGAAAAAAGAGTCCTAAAAGGCTGAGACCTCTCTAGACTGAGGACTAAGTATGCATGCCTACATAAGAAAAACAAGAGAAGCACGTGCCTTCAGAGATGGAGGGAGGGAGGGGCTGGGAGCACAGCCTTGCGTTTCACGGGAGAGGCGGCCACGTTTTGGTAGTTAAAGCTTGTTTTGGAGAAAGTCAGCTGTTTGGAGGATTGAGGAATGAAACTGGAAACCTCAGGAAAAATGCAAAAACATCGGATGAACTTGGTATGTTTTAAATTGCTTTTATTTAGTTAGCTGGAAATGCACTTTCGCAGATCCACCGTCACTCCTGCAAATTACAAGAGGGCTCAGGCACCCTGTGGAAGGTCATCCAGCTTCCAAGCGGCAAATTGGACCTCGAGCCCTCGTGCCGCTCCTTGTTGCAAAGCTCTTTGTCCATACTCGCTGGCAGAGGGGGAGAGTACAGCGGGGAGGATGCCTGGCCTGTGGTGGTCTGGCCTGCCAGGGCGGGTGCGAGCTTGTCACGGGCCAGACAGTCACTGAGTGCTCTTTGTGGCCTGAAGCGAATTTGGCAGGTGCCTGTCATTTGATCAGTGTGGATGGCCAGTGGACACACGTAAATGAGTCCCCAAACTCTACTCTGACCTACCTGCTTTAAACAAATTGGAGAGGGTCATCCAGTTGGTCTTCCCAGTCTCCTCTCTGAGGACAGTCTGGGGGCCGAGGCCTGGCTGAGTCCTGTCCTCCCATGTGGAACAGGCCCAAAAGGAGGTGCAGGGCGGCCCGGGGGACAGCGATGGTCAGAGTTGCAGGACTGTGGAGATCCTGGAGCTGAGAGGCGAGTGGCAGCCACAAGGGTGACGCTGGATTTCAGGACCACAACAGGGAGTTAGGAGGTGGGAGGGGCTGGGTTGTGCCTCAGTGCTCCTTTGGGTTGGAGTTTCTCCTCTCAGCCCTGCAGGTGGGGGCTGGAGAAGCCAGTGGTCATCAGCCAGGGCTGGGGGAGGTCTGGGGATGGGGGGAGGTACCAGCAAGAGAGATCAGGGTCGGTCGATCCTTAGACCCTTCACCGAACACTCAAGTTTCCTGTTTGTCAGTGTTGGGTTTTGTGTATGTGGGATTTTGGATTGTTCCTTTTAGAGTCTCATGTGTGCCAGGCACACCATTGTTCATATTGCCCAGTAGCTTTATATATATGTGTGTGTGTGTGTGTATACATACATACATATGTATATTTTTTAACAAGAAGCTTTACATTCTTTGTCTTGTGATTTTTTTTTGGTTAAAAGAAAGCATGTCTGTTTAGAATCCTGTGCATTATTTCTGTAAATTGCCTTCTATACACAGGGATGTCAGATGCTGCCCAAGAGAATCTGTTTCATATGGTAATTTTCACTAATGAATCCAGACCTATACTGTTAAATTTTGCCCCAAACTGCCTGGGATGAGGTAGAGGAAGCTAGTTGCAGTCAGCGTGACAGGTCTTAGAGGACACTATCATAGTGTTTCATAACAGATGTAAACTCTGTAGTCCTGAATATTAATACCAGCGCCATCACAAAGTATTTATTAGATGGGAGAGCATGTTTTTGATATTTGAATTTAAGAGGACTTTCAGTACTTCCCAACGTCACCATCAATAATTGGAATCTGCATTTCCTCCTTTATTCATTAGATAAATATTTAACACCCATTACGTTCATGGCATCACATTAGACTGTGGGGGAGTTACAAAGAACCTAGGCTGGGCTCCACCCTCAAGGGGGAAATAAAAGAAACAATTACGTGTAATTGTTTTTAACACCAAGCAGCATGAATCCCAGCTCTGGAGCATCCTGGTTACCGGGGAGGAGGGGACACGGGAGCCCCTCCAAGGCCAGCACCCACATGACCACACCTCGTGCTTCCCAAGCACGGGCCCTTGCACTCTCCTCTCTTCTTTCCTTGTCCTCCCATGCCTTCAGGGTTTGTGAGACCTGTGAGTCTCAGGGCATGACTCTGGTCACTCTGGCCAGTGAGGATTATTCTCTGATGGGCTGAGGTCAATGAAATTCAGCTTGTTTGTCTCTTTAGATTTTCCTGCAATGCCAGGAGAGACCGCTCATTTTGACACGGGACTGAGACCTCCTAAAACATGGAATTTGTAGATAAAAACGAACACTTCCTGACTTTTCCTGAGCGAGCTTTTGGTCAGCCTTATGCCTGCAACATTGCAGAGCTGCTGGAGGACCCAGGCGCACAGGTGGTTGTAGCTGCCCCCGAACATGGGAAGCTGGCTGAGAAGGGTGGCCAGGCCCTCGTCTCTCCGACCCAGAGTAGGTGTTCAGTAAATGATCATCCATAAAGTGAGTCGGGACTGACATGTATGAGAGCCGTAAGTTGGGGCCACTTTTCATTTAAGGCCTCAGAATTCCTGGAAGAAAGTGTGTGTAGAAGGTAGGCGGGCTGGAGAGGGTCAGGGAGATCTGGAAGATCCCCATATTTTTATACCAGGTGGCTTGTGTGATGTGGGCCATGGCCAGAAGTCAGTCATTAACTCGTTTGACAAATATTTATGTTAGCACTTGCTGCCTAGCATGTACTGGGGATACCAGGGCAGCCAGCAGGCAGTGCCCCCTCAACTTGTCTGCCCAGTGGAATCCCCCGGGAACTCGCTTACAAATTCCCAAGCCCAAGCCACGGCCGAGGCCATCACACTGCGCAGGCATGGGACACAGATCTCCATATTTTGGAAGCTCCTAAGGGTGCTCTGATATCAGAGAAGTTTGCAAGTCACTGCCATCAGGAGCTTATAATATGGTTTTAGATAACACACCTAGGAAAATTCAGTGACGGTACAAAACAGCCGTCCAGAAACCTCCTGGACAGGATGAGAGAGTCAGACCCAGGTCTGTGCTGAGAGCACCACTCACTCCCACTCAAGGAGGACGTTCCTGTGGATTAGGGAGTGGGAGCATCTAGCCAAACTGGACCTGGGGCGTGTCGGCTTCGCCAGGTTCAAGAGAAGGAGGAAGGGGCTCACCTTGACCCTGAACTCAGGCAGGTCCAGATATGACCTGGGATGGTAGGTGGAATGGACCAGTATATCAAGAACTCAACTAGTCGTTGCCATTTCAGTGGATGAATGCATTTCTTATAAAAGACAAACGGGCTGGGTGCGGTGGGTCATGCCTGTGCTCCCAGCACTTTGGGAGGCTGAGGTGGGCAGACCATGAGGTCAGGAGTTTGAGACCAGCCTGACCAATATGGTGAAACCTTGTCTTTATTAAAAATACAAAAATTAGCCAGGCATGGTGACATGCACCTGTAATCCCAGCTACTCAGGAGGCTGAGGCAGGAGAATTGCTTGAACCTGGGAGGTAGAGGTTGCAGTGAGCCGAGATTGTGCCATTGCACTTCAGCCTGGGTGACAGAACAAGACCCTGTCTGGCTACTGATGTGTTTTCTTGTGTATATGTGGGCTGAGCATGATGCGGTGAAGCAAATACCTCACGATGGACACACTCAGCATCTTCACTTCGTGATTCTCTTGCTCTAAAATTGCCTTGCCCTCATAACGGCCACAGTGAACCTCCCTGTGTATGCATGTCAGCACACCAATAGCCAGCTTAGGTGGGCACTTTCATGCCCTGCGTCTTGTGGAGCTGCGCTGAGGGTGGGTGCAGGCACCTGACCTCAGCCGTCCTGGCCACTCTGGTGCCTTCAGGCCTCACTGCTCATCAACAACCAGCCAGGCCACGTGGGCCTCATTTGGTATTCTTGGTACTTGCTATTTCTAATCAGTTTTTTAAATTGAGTCTGTTATATGTTATTTCAGAGGGGGGAATGGAATGTATTAACACTTAGCAAATTCTTTACGAGCTGCAACCAAACTTTTCCATTCTTTCCCTTTCAAACCCACAGTGTGCCATGCCGAGCTGAACGCCATCATGAACAAAAATTCGACCGATGTGAAAGGCTGTAGTATGTATGTCGCCTTGTTCCCTTGTAATGAATGTGCGAAGCTCATCATCCAGGCAGGTAGGAACGGGGTCTTCTCATTTGTCACATTTGCATTGCTGCCTGCTCGTCAGTAGCTCTTGCTGATGTGTTTGATCTTAAATTGCTATTGTTTAGATCTAAATTAATTGCACTATCAGCTTTGCAAGGTATTTCCTGTGTTTTGTTTCTGAATGGTGCCAGGTATTCTAAGACTAATTGCATCCTCTGTGATTCTTAGCATGTTTTTAATTTAGTTTGCAACTTCTTAAACTGCAAGCTGCCAAAAAACAACACAGGCATTGCATATAATTACTGTCAATTTCCTATTCTCTGACATATTGTGCATAGATTAGAGGGGAGGGAGAGAAATGAACTTCTGTCAGAAACAAGGTCAGCTGGGAGTCTGTATATGAAATTTTAATTTGTATCTAATACATGGTAGATATTTGAGGATCTAAACATATCTTGGCATATAAATGTCATAAGACCCAAATGGTACTCTGCCTTCAGGTTTTCATATGTTACAGTTACCATAAATCTACACCATTGTATTCTGAATATTTCACCTTTTTCAAACTGTCACATCTAAGATTCAGCTACACTTTGTCTCCATAAAACTCTCGGCTGGAGATTTAAAGACTTATCATGTTTAGCCAGATGTGTGGTTTAAAGGGGCTGTTTGTCACCAGCCCTGTGGATCTCAGAACAGAAGTGGTCTGCTGGTGCTGAGGAGTCGCTCGGGCCCCCTCGCTGTTGTTGTCGCCATTCCTGGGAAGCTCTCCCCTCCGTGCTGGAGGTGTGGAGGCGGTGGCAGGCCTGTAGACTGAGCAGTGTGGGCCCTACATGACAGCCTCCTCTCCCTTCAGAGGCCGGTGGAGGAGCAGCCTTCAATGCAGGGCCGTTGGGATTCCTGACTCCCGGAGTTAGTGCTGCCTGCTGAGATCAGAACAAGAAAACAGACCTGCGCTCTGTAGAGCTGGTTTGAAGTGGCCTGCAAAGCCATGCTGGGAAGCACACCGCTGAATTTCCCAGCAGTCCCCACTCCTTCCATCGGTCCTCCCATTAGTTAAGAGAAGCTGCCTTGTGAATAAAGATGATTTGATTACCTGTGGTAAGAAAAATTGGTCAGTCAGATCAAGACTTGACTACTTGACATGTTTTCCCTTTGCATTTGTTTTAAAAAAAAATCCATAAAGACTGGAGGGAAGATTAGATATAATCCACCCTCTGCTGTATTAGGAAGTGGCAGATATGTATTTCAGTGACTGGACACAGTCTGCAGGCACGCTTGGAAAAGGTCATTAATCATAGACGCTAAAAGCGCTCCAGCTGTCTCTTGCAGCATCTGTGTGTGCATATACTAAGGGGGCTCCCATTGTTACCTTACAGGTATAAAAGAAGTTATTTTCATGTCTGATAAATACCACGATAGTGACGAGGCCACTGCTGCGAGGCTCATGTTCGATATGGCTGGGGTGGCGTTCCGGTAAGCAGGGAGTGCTCGGGGGGAACGGGTGGGGTGAAGGCTGATGAAGAGACGTGTTTGACCTTGTCTCTTCCTTGTGATCCCTGACTTCCACACTTGGAGGTGTCTGGAGAAATGCAAGATTATAAGAATTTAAAGACTGAAATATCATAGGGGTAGATATTTCAGAGCAGTGGCAGGAAAATCTGAAGACAACTTGTTTTTTTTTTTTTTATTATTATTGAAATAGAGCCTGACTCTCTCCCAGGCTTGAGTGCATTGATGAGATCTCGGCTCACTGCAACCCCCACCTTGCAGGTACAAGCAGTTCTGCCTCAGCCTCCTGAGTAGCTGGGACTGTAGGCGCATGCTACCACACCTTGCTAATTTTTTGTGTTTTTAGTAGAGACGAAGTTTCACCATGTTAGCCAGGGTGATCTTGATTTCCTGACCTTGTGTTCTGCCTGCCTCGGCGTCCCAAAGTGCTGGGATTATAGGCATGAGCCACCGTGCCGGCCTGACAATTTGGTTAATGATTGTACTTTAATTTCAGTAACTTTCCAGGGGTTAGACTAATTATTCAAATAGTGAGAAGTTAAAAATTCACAAGTTTTATAATAGGAACACCAAACCTTGGTAAATTTTGCAAATGTAACAACTCTGCCCTTGAAAATTTTGGATGAAAGTAGCCTGCCTGGTTGAAACACTGGGGATTCTTTTTTTTTTTTCTTTTTGAAACGGGGCCTTGCAATGTTGCCAGACTGGAATGCAGTGGTGCAATCCCGGCTCACTGCAACCTCCGCCCCCAGGTTCAAGCGAATCTCCTGCCTCAGCCTCCTGAGTAGCTGGGACTACAGGTGCACACCACCACGCCCGGCTAATTTTTTGTATTGTTAATAGAGACGGGGTTTCACCATGTTGGCAAGGATGACCTTTATCTCTTGACCTTGTGATTTGCCTGCCTCGGCCTCCCTAAGTGCTGGGATTACAGGTGTGCACCACCTGGGAATTCTTTTTACAGCAACGTTTTGCATTGAGATTTGAAGTCTTACGGATTTTTATTATTATCTTTGGTTATGAGGTATGTTTTACTTGCAAGTAAGTTCAACCACCTTTAGTTCATGGTAGAAAATTCCTTTGGGACTGTAAAGCTTTCCAGCACTTTGTGGTATTGGCGTTCAGCAGCAGTGGGATGGTTGTCGTAGGTGACATGCCTGGCCCCTTGGGCTGGCCATTAGTGGTATGGCTCAGCATATCTCATGAATGCAACTGTGGTGGGCCTTCTGAGACTTTAAATTCAAATGATTCACCTACTCTCTTGCTCAGTGATTCTTAAAAGAATATGTTTTGTTCTCAAATATTTTCTTTTTAATAGTTGTAATGAGGAATGAGTGAAAAGTTAATGAGAAAAAAAAATGTTGGCTTATGTTTGTATTTTTAGAATGTAATTTGAAAAATTACTTCTCACTAAAGGTAGTCATTTTTTGCCATGTATAAACAGCAAAAGAAAATTTGCTATTTTCTGCATTAGAGCAACTCCAAGTTGGCTGCAGAAATTTCCTAGAAAATAAGATGAATCTGATGGGAAAACTAGTAATCGGATATCACGTTGTGCAGCTAACTTCTTAGAAATCCTTTGACTTTCCAATAATTCATGAACTCAGATAGCTGAAGAATATACAAACCACACCACCCATACGTCTTTTTTTGTCTTAGTCTTTTCTGGTCCGTTTTCTCTCGGTATGGTGCACTATAATTGGCTCCAATAGAGACAAAATACCAAGTGAATCCCAGGACATTTTTTTCTCTGCACAGAAAATATGAGTTAAGCCAAAGTAAACAAACTGCTTTAACTACTCACTAGATAATAACTATATATATATATGTATATATATATGTATTTTTTTTTTTTTTTTTAGTAAATTCACACCAAAGTGCAGCAAGATTGTCATTGACTTTGATTCAATTAACAGTAGGCCCAGTCAAAAGCTTCAGTGAATTACATCTCATTAAATCTCCAGAAGATTGGGATTATCCTCTTCTAAGAAGCTGCTAATGCCTTTCATCTTGAAGTTTCACATAGCTGTTTACCAGCCGGTCCAGCAAAAGTAGACATCTACAGAATATAAAGCCTCAAATCTTTCTTACTGTCTCTCCTGTGACATGGAATCTACATCTGTTTGAACTATTGATTTAGGGTTTAAAATAGGGGAGCCTGCGGTGGCCTGGTACACAGGGCTAGAGGGAGGGTGGCTCCCACTCCCGGATCCTGGCTGGCTGGGATGCTGGTGGCTCTTCAGAGGAGAGTCAGCTGTTTGTCATCTGCTACGATCCGGCAGCCCCTCTTCAGTGCCACATGTGCTGCCTCTGTGCTGGAAGGCCAAATAAATAATTGTGCTCTTATCGGGGACGAGCAGCACACTGATCTGAACATCTGGCCAAGTGAAGCATGGCATATACTACCCTTGGAAAAAAATTAGGCCACAAATGTCAGTAGCATTGACGTATTTGCTGCAGGGTTGAGGGAAACCCCCAGCCACCCACCCTCCCGGAACCCGATTTGGGTGGCACATCTGTCCTGACAGACGAGGAGTGGAACCGAACCAGGAGTAGTTCCGCCGTCCCTGTTCTCGCCGCACACAGGGTGGTGGGACATTATCCCTCTGGGGGCGGGGACCCCTGTTGTTTTGGCTCAGTTTTGGTGTGTTGGTCACATGGAGCTCTTCCATTTCGTTTAGCTGCATAATGAGTTGCTCCTGGAAGAGACAGCCTGGGTCTCCTTGAAGCCCATGCCCTGCCATGGTGGCAGCTGGGGCTGTGGATGGGAGGGGTCCCCAACATGGATGTGTTGCCCCTCCTCCGAATGCCAACACGATTCATTTACAAGGCCCCTCTGCAACTGGAGAGAAAATTAATTCCTATCCCATAAGTGGATTGTGAGAAATTTCGCATACGTGGAGATGGTTTCTTGCAGCCCCCTTGGTGTTCAGAGCTCATCTGTGCCCTGGCTCCATGCCTTCATCTACACAAACATCACCTTCCTAATCACTGAGGGGCAGGGCAGGGAGCCTGTGGCTCTGCTCCTTCTCTTTAATCTCATTTAATTTTTATTAAACATGCTCAGTACCTTTGTTAAGAAAAGGCTTTCTTTATCCTAAAGATTATTACCTTTTTAAAGTGCTCTTATATTTTCACGATTTTTTATTTTGTCTCTGAGGTTTTGTATTCCACATTCTAGGGTATTCTGTAATTTGGCTCCTTACCAATATTATTAAAATCTTATTAAAATCTACCCTCCAAAGCATGTTTATTTTTATGTTACTATAATTATATGCCTAACTCTCCACTCCTGTCCTTTCTGTATCATCTGTGAAGCACATTACATCTGTTTTAATGCTCAAAGAACAATTTGAGATGTCCAAGCTGTGTGTGTTCTCCAGGGTTGATGGCTGGGGCTTCTTTATGGACCAGATTTATGTAAGATGCGAAGGCAGGCGCTGGTCCTACCCTCTCTTGTGGACCTTGCCTCTGGTCCCAGGTGTGGCCATCTCGTAGGGCCCAGGCCTCCGCCCTCCCAGAAAGCTCAATCCCAAGTTCTGCCCTCTGCTGACCTCTCACCTTATCCTCTTTCTAAGTCTCTCTTCTCTTCTCCAAACCCCTTGCCCTCTGTCTATATGTATAAAGGTGTGTGGAAGAAAGAATCAGTAGACTTAAAGGTAGAAAGTAAGAGATTTCTGTATTGCCCCATGTCACAAGAATTGTAAGTCTTGTTAACATGGGGTGTGTAATTTTCATCACATCACATTGATAAATGTGTCTAGGGGCTAATAAGCCAGTAGTGTATCTAATTTATATATCTTATATTTTGTCAGGTTGTTACATTCAGTTTTTGTAAAAAAAAAAGTCGACTTTTTTCTTTTTATCTCTATGAGGGCCGGTTGACAGGAAGTGTCCTTGCTATGAAAGAGAAGTTCGGATATTGAGGTCGGGTGGTGGGTGTTTATTTAGGGGCAGATGCTGTCGCCCATGAATAGATCCTGGTTTCCTGGTGACTGGAGTGTAAGTTATTATGTCTTAGTTTCTAGGATCGCTATAAGAATAGTAGAATTGTCCTATCCAGAGAATTCCGCAGATGTTCACGTTCCAGTTAATAGAGGTTTGCTTTGAACTGGTGCCTTCGGGAGAAGCTTTCCAGAAGGAAGGAGTTTTGTGCAGCCTTTTGCCTTGCAGGCATTACTGGATAATTGTGGTGACGGGAGACTGTATCTGAGCAAATGTTGCTGCCTGTCACGGTTAATAAGTGACAATAAGGAAACCATCTTTCACTGAACCGTTGATAGAAGGACTACATTTAAAAGGCAAAATTTGTGAGTGAAATGATAGGAACTCTATATGCTTTCTTCCCTTTTACTCCTTCAGCAGTCTGTCCTTAAAGACTTCTGAGGCCTAACAAGACCCAGCAGTGAGAGTGATCTAATACATTAGCCATCTTTTCCTAAATTCAAAATGAAGCAAAATAAGAGAACAAGCATAAAAACTGAGCTCATGAATAAAAATGTAGGCTTGCAAGCCCAGTGAGCTCAAGCTCCCGTGGCCCTGCTGTAATTTTTGATCTTCCAATGTCCATGTCTACCTGAGAATTAAAAACATTTAGCTTGTTGCAAAAGGGCCCAAGGAATGCAGGGAGGGAGTTTCCTCATTGACGAACCTGATAAGAAATTTTAATATTTATAGTTCTCTTTTTTGTTGTTGTTAAATTAAAGCCACTCTAAAACTGGTAGTTTCTACAAATCGTTACCCAGGAGGTCTGTCTAAAGCTCCAGGGAAGGACCAGAACTCAAGGTGGGGGTGGTCTGCAAACTCTTGTCAGGGAACCATGATGGCTGGAGTAATGGATTACCTGCGGCAGAGGTAAAATAACCCTGGGCCCAGGAGTCACATTTAGAGCAGGGGTGCCCCAGAATTCTTCTGGAGATACCCACAGCTAGGTCGACTTTTATTTCAGAACTGTTGGAAGAATCTAAAGCCATTCCATCATGAGGGTGTCTGAATCTCAAACAGTTACTGAGTGCCTACCACGCACTGGGATCTCTGAGGTTCCTAGGGAAGGGTTAGAACAGACTAGATAGCTAGATGTTAGACAAGTTCCTTAGATGAAGCCCAATTTTGCCACCCACACAACCGGAGCCACACACATAAGCATCACCTGCACTTTATTTTCTCTGTGATTGGGTTGTCTATTTTTTGTGTCTGCATCCATCGGAGTAAGACAATGGGGAGAGGGCAGGGACCAGACCCGAAGTCTACAGCGGCTGGGTTCTTACTCCGATTCCGAGGCCAAAGACTTAAACATTCTAAAAGTCCTTCATTAAATTAAAATGAGTTCAGTATTTCCCAAGAAAATCAGAAGAGGGGTTCTCTGTTGAAGAAAGGAAAGCATACCATCTGCTGTCTGCTCAGGTATGGAGCCCGAGGGTCTCTGACTTGGAGCCTGAAGACAGGGTTCGCCCTTATTTTTGGTAGCTGACTGCCAGATCTCTTCGCTGGAGCCCCAGTTCACAACTTCACTTGCCTGCTGCCATTCTTAGACATTTTTAAGGTCAATGGTATTAATTACACATGTGTTGTACATCCATTCATCCATCCATCTCCAGAGCTGTGCATCTTGCAAAACTGAAACTCCATACCCATTATACACTAACTCTGTCTTCCCCCTCTCCCAGAAGTTGCATCCACCATTCTACTCTCTGTGTGAATTTCACCACTCTCAGTACCTCATATACATGGAATTGAACAGAATTTTCTCTTTTTGCCTGGCTACTTAGTGTCATGTCTTCAAGGTGCATCCAGGTTGTAGCATGTGTCAGGATTTCTTTCCTTCTGAAGGCTGAAGAACAGCCCATCGTGTTCACACACCACCTTTTGTTTAGCCACTCATGCGCCAGTGGACACCTGGGTCACTCCCACCTTCTGCTGTCATTTCCTGAATGTGCAGTGCGCCTCTCTAACCTGGCCCCATCTACCTCAGCCACCCAGCTTCATTTCTGCAGCAGTCACCTGCCTTGAAAGTTTTTTCTTTTTCAAAAATCAGCCTTCCCTTCCCTTCCCTCCCCTCCCCTTCCCTCCCCTCCCCTTCTTTTCCCCTCCCCTTCCCTCTTCTTCTCCTCC